GGGGAAGAAAGGAGAAAAGGAAAAGGAAGGAGGAAAGAAGAGGAGGAGGAGAAGGAGAAAGGAAGGAAAAAGAAGGAGGAAAGAAAAAAGGGAAGGAAAGAGGAGAAGAAAAGGGAAGGGGAGGAAGGAGGAAAGAAAGGGAAAGAAAGGAAAGAAGAGAAGGAAGGGGGGTTTGTGGTATGGGGAGCTATATAAAAAGGCTTAGTATCAAGTAAGAACCAAAAACACGTAAGTGGTCTGAATCTATGTGCTTGTCATGATCAATATTGGATAGGTACATCGTATCCATTGGGGGTGTAAGAGTCTATCCTAGTTCAACATACTACAGTTGAGTAGGTAAGTGTATGGGGCGTCGTGTACGTGTTCGTCATTATTGAGGTTATCACACCCCCGCCTTCATTTCATATATTGTATCTCGGATGTTTGAGATGGCCTACAAGAGGCAAATAATTTCCTTCTGTCTCCCAATGTTAGAAATGCTCTCTTCTCCACCATGGCTCCCTTGAGCTCAATCAAGCAATAGCAATAGTCCACTAATGCGGCAGCCCCAATTGAATTCAGCTGTCCATCAGAACTCTGGCACTACTACCTACCGCCCTCCACAATTCACTCTTTCCGATCAAACATCTCGTTTATTATATATAGATACAGACAGATGGCAAAATCATGGTTTGGTTTTGGGGAGTTTTCTTTTTCTGAATGATTGAATCTATATATGCAGAATCCATGGATAGGGAGTACAGACTGCACACAGATAGTAAGGAAGTGTATATGCATGTAAACCACTAACTGGATTTCAGTCTACATGTAATTCCATAAAAATCCCTTTCCCTGATCATGAAAAATACACACCATGTTTCCTTACAAGAGTTTGAGAATGTTTTCTCTATTTCTATGGGAAGTAAATGCACAGATTCCTTTATCCAAACTTATTAGACAAACATATTTAGCCTGTTTGTCCTGTTAGATTTGATGTGTTGGTGTAAATCCTGACTTGTATTTATGAAATAAGACTTTAAAAACCATCTTTAAGTGATCCACAAGGAAACAGTAGGACTTTAATTTTGCTGTTGTTAGTATATGCGGAAATGTGCATATATGTGTTTTTACACAATTTTATAAAAATGTTTAGTACAGGAAAATACTAATGAATGTCTTGTAAATAGAAGCAGTGACACTGGATGCATTTTCTTTCTGATGAATCAGCATGTCCTGTTGTGCTTGTTCTTGGTGTGCACTTAACTTCATAAAAGAAAGAAAAAGGATACTCATCCTTCATGGAAATTGGGACAGTTAGACAGAGCAAGAAAAAAATTCTGTATTTCAGTCATAGGCTTGAGCTATTACTTGAGGGGGTTGGAAAGTCTCCAGATTCTGTTTTGTCCTGCCAAGAAGATTAGTGTCAATTGGAATCTTAGGAATGGAATTCCCCCCACATATTCCTATTTGACAAATGCAGTTATAACCTTGAAGGGTATGGATGCTAAATCACAGCAACAGGGGGAAATGATGACTTTGGATTGATTTCTCGAAACAACTGATTGGTGGCATTAAAGTGACTAGACATGTGTTTCAAACCCAGCAACAGGAAAATATAGCTATTTATTTCAGAGCTATAGCTGCATGATGTTATACTAATATAATGAATGAAAAGTTCTGAAGCTTATCTAGATCAGGGCTTCTTAAACTTTTCCACAATACTTTTGGCCTGAGAAATTTTTCTATGACCCCAGGTATATACATATTTAAAAGAGGTTTGCAAACCAATCATTTGACATTTACTGATAACAAATCAGCATTTGCAAGGCTTGCTAAACAATGTGATTTTCTGGGTTGTTGGCCACCTTGATTAGCATTTGATGACCTGGCAGTTTGCCACCCCAGCTCCTTCTGATTCAAGCCAGTCACTTCTAGGATACCATCCATACATCTTGCCCTGGGTCAGCCACTCTTCCTTTTTTCCTTCTATTTTCCCCAGCATCATTGTCCTTGTTTCTCATTATGTGGCCAAAATGCTTCATCTTTGCCTCTAATATCCTTCCCTCAAGTGAGCAGTCAAGCTTTATTTCCTGAAGCATGGACTGGTTGGATCTTCTCAGAATTTTCCTTCAACACCACAGTTCAAAAGCATCTATCTTCCTTCACTCAGCCTTCCTTGTTGTCCAGCTCTCACATCCATAGGTTACTACAGGGAATACCATTGTTTTAACTATGCCAATGTGATATCTCTACTTTTCACTATATGAAGAACAGATGAAGTATCTTCTTTTGTGTGAAGTACAGATTTGTGTAAATGTCTAAAACACATAGTAGTTGATATTCAGAAAACTTTTACTGTTGCCAATTTTGGGACCACAACCTTGATCTAAGGGGACCTCATTTGGGGTTAGGACCCACATTTAAGAAGCAGTGATCTAGATGATACAGAGCTTTCCTTCGGCATAATTGCATTTTCTGAATTATGCTGTAAAATAAGGCTGTATCCTATATCTCATGTTTGCCTGACATGTTTTGCAGATTTAGTGCAAATTTCAAAAGCATGCCTAAGTTTTCAAGCAATCACCTCTGCATTCCAATATGTAAAAATACTTTCATTATGTTTATTATAAAAATATAAATGTTCCCACTACAAATCATTTTACATTAGTAACAGGCCATCTACAATTGCACAACATAATTATTAATTAACTCAGTAAGTAATGTTTTGAAATAAACGTTAAAAGTAAATGCCGATTTGCCAGTTCAAATCATAGCTCTACATTGCTTATTGGATTCTAAAGTACAGCAAAGACTATGTTATATGTTAACAGAAATAAATAATATATGTAAAAACCCACAATATTTTAAAGATACAAAGGCAATAATATGGTACATATTCTTTGTGAAGACTTTTATGTTGTTTTTTTTGATGTAAATAATAGTCAAAGGCAGGTCCTGTACAGGCAGATGGCCACAAAATTCTATTTTCTCTACTCCACAGATTAAGAATTGTACACTGCTATGTTTACATATGTACAGGGGAAGAAAGGGAGTATGAGCAATAGGAGGCCTCCAGACAGTACAAAAATTGTAAAAAAGAGAAGACCAAAAGCTATTGTAAAATGTTCTGTAAAAGAACGTATTTCCTCCTGAATAAACAACAAAATTCATCTTTCATATAAACACAATCTGAATAATATTCCAAGGTGGGCTACTCAACCCGGAGAGAAAATTAAGGATAGGCAAAAATTTATTATGAAAAATTGCAAACAAATACATATTTTCCTTTTACAACAATTAGGGAAGACTCCTGGACAATTGGTTCCATGTATTATTATGGAGAACAGAATAGAATTATGTTTACTTTCAATTGCTTCTGGCTAGCATGAATTGTGAGTCAAGCATTTGGAGTCAAATATGCTGATGGAAGGTGCTGATGACACAGTTAGTCTGACAAAGATAGTGTGTATTTTAAGTTATCACAGCAGAACATTGGTCTTTTTACATTGATATCATATGAAAGAGTCAGAGATGCTCAGGAAAAGAACCCTAATGTCAGGGTGCCATTTTGCAGTGCTACTTTATGTGCTCTGAAATTTGAACACAATTCCCAAACAGAATGGCTCCACAGGTTTTGTGAGACCTGTTGTGTTCAAAAGCGTGTAAAAGATGTGAAAGATATTGTAAATGGGATATGTGCTGATTTTTGAGATTCTTACACACACACACACACACACACCATCTATAAAGTATTTTGCAAGAGTACTGATCTATTGCAATTCAATCCTGTGCATATTTACTTAGTAGAAAAGTCCCTGTAGCAAATGGTGATTACTGTACTCTCCAAATGTGTTTAGGATTTCAACCTTAGAAGTAAACAATATGATTTACTCTAGGTGGATATTATCGGTATACTGTAAAAACTAAAAAAAAAAAAGATCTTCCTCTTTCCTTCTTTTTCAATTCCAGGTAAAGCTAAGTGAATTGTCTTTTGATGAAACATCACATTATATACTTTTTAAAAAAGACCTTCCAATAGCTAGGTATAACCTGCAGATATTCCAAGTACATGCAATTATGCAAGCTTGTGCTAGTTGGTGGAAAATATATAAACAGCTCATCAAAACCTTTGACCCCATAGAAAAATGATTGTGTGGTTCCTTATTAATTTGGACTACATCATATATTATGAATGAAAATTTCCACCTTTAGATACAATATAGTGCATCTATACTGTGTGTCAATTCAGTTTGACATCAATTTAACTGCCATGGCTCATTACGATAGAATCATAGAAGTTGTAGCTTTACAAGTCTTTAGCCTTCTTTGCCAAACAATGCTGTTGCTTCACCAAACTATAACTCCCATGATTCCATAGCATTGAACCATGCCAGTTAAAGTGGTGTCATACTGTATTAATTCTATAGTGCAGATATAGCCTTAGTATGGGCACACAGATCCCTGTCTGCATGGAAACTGTATTGGGGCTGTTTATTTGGAAATGTCTCATGGAATCACTCAAATATTAAGAATGCAGCCAAAGTCTGAGAGAATTTGGCACTTGGTAATCACAAATCCCAAAAAAATCCCATATAAATATAAAAAATCAGGAACATACATGAAAGGGAAATAAATAGGCCTTTTATATAGAAAAAAAGTTAAGACTTGTTTTCTTAAAAACAAGAACACACACATCAAGCTAGCCCCATCACAAATATTATTGATCTATTGCCTCCATTTGATCCCAAACATTATCCATGTTTTCCTTCCACAGTTGAAATGGAATATTGAAAGACTATCATTGCAAATATGGCCAGAAAAGTCTGAGGTATCATCCCCAAATATCCCTACTAGAAATATTTTAGAGAAATAAAATGCTAATCACCTATCCTTTTCACATATAAAAAAATACTGCAAGGGGTAATTTATTTACTTGCTGCTGTAGACAGGCAGTCAAAACACAGCATTACATCCACAGTTTGCTTGCCTTTTGCAGAATTCAGTCCATTGACATTTGAATGGCTCTCTAAGGTACATGGAAGGATTTTTTAAAAACATTTTAAAACATTTTTTTCAAATGCATCACATGTTTGAGCAGTCCATTATTACAAAGGGGGAAAAAAACACCCTCCTTCAAGAATAAGAGATAGAAAAAATGTTTTTCATTCCTATTTTAAGGCAATTGAACTCATCTTATGAGTCTCTTTGGGGGCATGCAACAGCCACCCAAATGTCATCTTTCCCACATTGTTACAAGAGTGCCTTTTAAAACTTGCTGTTTCTCACGCATTGTCATGACCTTTGCAGTAACATCTTCTTGCCTCTTGTTATGTCCTGAGCATCAACGTTTTGGTAGTTTACACAGGAACAGGGCCATTCTTCGTATGCATTTCTAGAGACTTAATACTGCTAATAAGCTTTCTTTGCGGCCCAACAATTGTCACACCAACCTTCTTCATGTCACTGGAAAACACAGAATATATCTAATGAGTTCATCATACATGGCAAGTGTACCACAACAAAATAGTTCACAACATAGGCATGATGTATTGTCAAAGGCTTTCATGGCTGGAATCACTGGCTTGTTGTGAGTTTTTTCAGGCTGTATGGCCATCTTCCAGAATGCTTCTGGATCATGGCCATACTGCCTGAAAAACTCACAACTACCCATATGCAAGATGACTTTTCATCATATATTGGGCTAGCTTGAATCATTCAAGTTTAGTGAAAGATACTGGAGGATATTCCTTAGAAGCTAAACAATTAGCCTTTGAAAAGTGTTTCAGTATGATTTTAGATTTTGTTCACTGTGTTGGATGGATTCTCTTGATAAATCATGCTTAGTCTTAGAAGTGAGAAATTGGTAAATGCACATTAAAATGTGAGCTAAGCAAATGTCTTACATTTCTGAATAAAATCAATCAATTAATCAATATCAGATTCTCTCGTGTTGTTCTACATACGCCTGAGGTCTGTTTGAAGACCAGTCAGAGCAGAACAGTTGGTCTATCACCAAAGAATGGAAATAATATTTGAAAATATTTATGCATGGTTGAAGGTTGGTTTCTTAAGTGTCACAAAGCCCTGACAAAGAGAATCCCAGGTTCCATCTACACTGCCATATAAAGCAGTTTGAATCTAACTGCATTATATGAGTCTACACTGACCATATATAATGCTGTTCCAAACTGCATTATATGGAAGTGTAGATGGGCCTGCGAACAAGTGGTAGTCTATACATTTTAAGATTTATTTTTCATGAAAAATTCATGTTGGTTTTTTTGGTACAAAAGGTTTTTTACACAGAAAACTAGTTATCCATTCAAAAAACCCAAATGATTTTTTGCACAGAATAATTCTGTGCATCTGAATATAATCTGATTTATCTGATGCTGTTGTTTTCTGTGTTGTTCCATCATGTTTTAATATTTTCTTGTGATTTTTGTATAGCCATATTAGGTTGCTTTATTGATTACTGTAAAGTACCTTAAAAGCTGTCTCCTACCAAAAAAGGTCTGAGAAAACAATAGAACAGATAACAGTTGAATAATTAATTAAGATATTTACGTTCTTAACTCCTCATAGAATTGAAAGCCTGAAAGCCTAAATCCTGAATGAGAAGTACAAAAAGAATTAAAGAAGCAATATTAAGGCATGGTCTTACTTTGAGGAAATCTTGGCTATTGTATCACATGAGCTGTATTCTACTCCTGTGAATATGTCCTTGCATTGTCCTATCCGAATGCCATTCAGCCAGTCACCTGTTGAGCGGAAAGCGGAGATTTCAATGCTGCTTTGGTCCAGAAGGAGATTTGAGGGCCTAAAACAAAAAAGAAAATGGTTATAACAAGAGAGCAGAAATACAGAGATTCATTTTCTATCTAAACTTAGCTTCAATCCCAGCAGGATCATTCATGTAATTCAGAGGCTCCTGGTCAGGCATAGAATTTAATAGTTACAGAGCTCATATATGACTGAAATTGTTGTTTTAGCTGGAGAAAAAAGTCAAATCACAGGGACTAAAGCTGACAGGTATATTCAGTTACCTGAGAGAAAGCTACGCTGAACTCGGTGGAAATTAGTCCTGCGTAGACATGTATTGGAATGCATTGTAAATGAACCACTCAGTGGTTTAGACTTGAAAATCATTACTGCGGTGCCTGGTCTATCACTTAATACATATTACTCTAGAACTCTAAAATAACTTACACGTTTCACAAAGTTGTGTAAATTATTTTAAGTTTATAAAAATTGCCAAACACAGCTCCAGCAGGATACTACTTTATGACAATGATTAATTTGTTTAATCTCAGATTAAACTGATCGGTCCCTTGACACACAGTGTAAATTCACGCATATTATCTGATGGCTCAAATTAGAGAATGAGTAATGGTTTGGACCATAGAATTATATTTGAAAAATATTGGATACCTTGATTAAGAACCTGTGGTACAAATTGTTGCAAGTACAAAAGCTTAGACAACGTTGGGCACATTTGCAAAATTAAAATTTTCAGTTTCTTCCTGGAGTGGATAAGAAGACACAGACTAGATATTTGCATGTGCAGTACGCATATAGGCTGTCATAGACCAGTGATGGCTGGTTTCTTTTATCCATCTTTCTAGTAACCACACTGAATGACACTCATATTTTATAATAATATGAGTTGCTAGAAATGTTTTGTGTTGTTTGTTACATGTAATTTGACTTTTTGTATTGTCCTAAATTTGAATGGCATTGAATTGTTGCCAAATGTTAGCCTATCTGAGTCCCTCAATGAGGGCGATAGGGCAGGGTAAATAAATTTTATGAAATTACCATGACTTCACAAACAAATGATAATGGCATTTTAGTGCCTAAGAAAGCAATCCTATAACTACCTTGCTCATAAGGCGGTCCTGCTGAGTTGATTAATTTTGCTCCTGTAAATAGGAAGTACAGTGCTAATTCCCTTAGAAGCTGCATTTCTTGTTTTCATGCTTATTTATTTATATATTTCTAGAGGTATCAATGTGTTGAACACGTCACAAAAGATGGTAGATGTGGAAAGAACATCAAAAGTCTCCAATATTTTCATTTTACACCAAGTTCTTTCTCTTAGCTTTCTCCTTCCCCATCATCTTCAGCTCAACCAAATAGCAATGAACAACATGACAACTGTTTTGAGATATACTGGTTATTACCATCAGATCACTCTTTATGATAATTCAGTTCACATCTTGCGCCACTCAGTGTTGTGGGCAGGGAGACATTTGTGTTGGCTTTAACTGGAGGAGATTGCAGCTGCTTCAGCTAGATCAGCAATGAGCATGGGCCCCCGACGTATTCAGAAGTCTTCAGTATACCAGATATATGTTTATCCTTTTCAATATTAGTATGTTTTGCTGATGCTTTGTTACTTCTTTCAGATTCCAAGTTATGGCCAGTAAGGAACTGTGTCCTAATCTTTGACCACACCAGGACTGCCATTGCCATTTTAGAATGATGGTTGAGTTGCTGGGGAAGAGGGAGCTTTGGAAGTATGGCCTACTTCCAGTGTTGTTGGATAGAGTAAGGGGCTTCCACCACACATTTTGGCCACTGGGATAATACCTAGGTTTGTTGAAGGGCAAGGAACTGATTATTCAAGCAATTTATGATATGAGTATCATACAGTCCAATTGGCCTGGGTTTTCCCTAATGTGGTCTAAATTTTGTCCCAACCAGGGTTAAAGATAAAATAAGTTAATAGTTAAAATAATGTGAACAAGTTCAACCCAGCTTGTGTTTTCAGATTCATTTATTCCCATGGTTGATGAGCAAAGAACTGACACCACTCATTTTAGGCCAGTTTCCTAGTTTGTTTTCATATAGATATCTTTTAATAAAATGTTTTTGTTGAGCTATTATGAGAAGTATTCTCAAAGTGCCCATTTGTTCATGGATTGTTTGTTCACATGCATATCATATATTTGAACTAAAGCCATTTCTACAATTATCAATTTCAAAAATAAATCTAAGTGACACGTTAACATTTATTAAATGAAAAGCAGAAATGCACTTTGCTACTTTGTGTTTGTCTTCTGAAAACCAATTTTTAAAAAGTGTATAGTGTTTTTGGCCATAACTTATAGGATCCCAAGTTACATGTTAAAACATATCTAATGTAAAGAGAAGTTGTATTCCCCCCCCCCCCCCCCCCCCCCCCCCCCCGGTCAGTTGAACATACTCCCTTTTTAAAAAAGACAAATTGACTTAACTACTTTGGGATGGGATGGCGGAAATGTTTAAGCAATATGATGAAAAAACAGAGTGGCAGGATTAGCAATTGTAGTATCTAGTAAAGCTTTCATGTTTATTGCTGGGACATAGGTACAATGGAAACAAAAATAGGAGCTGATCTTGAATGCAAGAAACCCCAGAACAAACCAGTGTTGTAAAGTATTATTTTTCTTCCCTGTAGAATTCTAGACCAAATAAATAATTAAATAAATTAGCTACTTCCCTCCTTGGAGAGGACATCTGGACAGTTTATCAATGAACAGGAATTTGTCTCTTGCTGTGAAGAGTCTGTGATGTCTCCTCATGTGCACCAAGGGAATGTGGGCTTTCAGAGCATCTGCATTCACTGGCTTCCACCACCCCCTCCCTTTGACCCAGCCCCTAGACGGCAAGTCTAAACATGAAATTTATGGGCTGGTTGATGTGTGCCATAAGCTCACACTTTTACTAGACAAATTAGATGGAGTGCAAGTTGTGCAGCTGTAAATGACGTCCTGCAGGGTTCCACCTGATCTTTCACAGCTTTTCATAAATCAGGTCCTACTAACATCAGACTGTGGTCATTAAAAAGAAATCATGGAAATTGCATGTTTGCTCAAGGGAAAGGAAACCATTTTACCCATCACCATTTTCCTTCACCCACCCCTTTCTTTATTTTTGCTGCTTCCTACTCTCACTAACTTCACTTGAAAATGTTCTCGATGTACTAATATAGAAAAAGAAAATTAGACTCCACATTACTCATTTGGGCACTGGCCACGTCTGGAAGCCTGCATGCATGCTTGGACATATGGCTCATAAATAAAAGAGAGCAATCTGCTTAAGAGTGAGATTCCAGAGTATATGTTCCACCAATGGCCTCTTGCATTTGGCTTTTATGGACAGACCTATTATGTTAACAGCTGGAATTAGCCTTGTTCTTTTGCATGAAAGCCTGGAGAGCTATGGTTTGCTGTCATTAAGATGGATGTTGCCACATTGCAAAGGACTTTCTGTCACACCACATCATGTCTTGAAATAAACATATAAATAGCAATGGAGCTCTGCCTCCTGCTGATACAAATCACAGTCCCCAGTGTGCCAGCTGTCCATTTGGAAGGAGATAACTTAATTTGTAACCACTATCATCAAGTACTATTATTTGAGAGGTAGCATTGTGCTCCTAAAAGGAACATTGGATACTGTACCCTGAAAGCTTCCAAGTCTATTTTTACTCGTCACCTTAGCTAGCTTCTTTCTGGTGTGCTTGAATGCATCCATCTTTAGCTAGCAATTTTTAAAACTCTATGTAAAACTTGCTGGATCTTTCAATAAGCTGAAATTTGACATTTATTGCTTATAAATACATTTATGGAGCAGAATCTTGGACTAATTATAAGACCAAAATAATTATAATCTCTAACTTAGGAAAGCACAAGTGTTTGATTTTTTTTAAAAAAAACAACAACATTATATTCACTGCCAATTGGAAGCATGGATGTTTCCTCTTCTCAACAAGAGACCAGAAAATAAATGACACACTGAGACATTTTGTTGACTCTAATTATCTCAGCACTAGAAGAACTCCAATCTTTTTTATAGCTATATATGCTTGTTTTATGGTGTTGCTTAGGGTAAAAATTACTAACTTTGTTTTTAAATAAAATTGACCTAGTTGTGTGCTATGTTTGTTTCCCTTGTTACTTCTTACTATCATGCTTGTTCAGTTCAAAAACAATAAGATATTTTGTGTGTGTGTGTGTGTGTTTTAAAGTAATTCCCTGCAGACTTGGAAAACAGACATCAAAGCCTTCATCTAGCAAGTGCCTTCCAGATGTGGTGGACAACAAAGACCAGGATCTATCAGCTACACATTAAGCAGATTCCATGGCTGTTTAGGGACTGTCATTTATGAACACATAGCCACTACATTTCTTAAAGTCCATATAGCAAATAAATGAATCACAATTGTAAATGATGGTTACAATGAATGCTTTACATTGGTTGGTGTTATCCAGTCCCTCAGTATCACTTGTAGTAGTGGCTTTGGAAAAAAATGACTTGTAGTAGTGGCTTTGGAAAAAATGACAATCATTTGTACTCCCATGAGGAGCAAAAAAAGGCAGGAAGAATACGGATATTAAAGATTCATTCACACAATTATAGTACTATGATTCCATTTTAATTGTCATAGTTCCATCCAATTTGGTGAAGCATTAGAGCTCTCTGGATGAGAATCCTAAATGCCCCAACCTAAACTGCCAACTCAGGATTCCATCGGACTGAACCATGGCAGTGACCACTACAGGGATGTGGCTTTTCAGTATGTTTTTTTGGAAGGCACCAGTGAGCACGTTCAACAATTTCTTTCTCACTGTGAGAAAGTCTTCAAAAATTGATATGAACATATTTACAATTGTCAGAGTTTTATATTATTTAGATCATTTCTTAAGTGAAAAATGGGTAAGTGGTTGCAAGAATCATGTCCAGTCATTGTATGACCAGCACCTGTGAGAGTTTAGCTACTACAAATTGAGAGAAGGAGTAGAGAAGAGCATGAGCAGAGCATGAGCAGAGCAT